TGCGGTGACACTGGCGTCCTGTTTCTTGTAAAGGACAAATCGCTTTGGTCTAAATAAGAAACTCTCATCTGACTTTCTGAGTTTCTTCCGAGGGTCGAATATGGCGAGCTCGTACTCGGCCACACCGTTATGGCCTTACCGTGCCAGCCTGCGACTACTTATTTGTAGTAGCCAACCTCCATATATACAGGTCGTTCCCCTATCCGTAATCCGGAGACGCGCCAGATGGCCAGCAGCTAGGCCCATTAGTATGTGTATGGTGTAAAATATAAAATTCTGATATACTATAATGTACATAATTTATCTGCGCGTTTAATTTTTACGAAATATGAAGACCAGTATGCTGAGTAACCTCAGAAAGTACTAAAGTTTCAGTCATGCTGAGAGTGTAGCTAGTACCTGCTTGAAGCACGCGATGGCGAGGACTTACGGTGGAGAGTCGTTAATTGTTTGCCCAAATTAGAGTCCACTGAAAATTGTTTCTGGTGCTTTACGTCAGTTGCATTATTTGTTGGTCCTAAGCTAATAAACGAGAGAGTGGCACTTACACATTACCGATCTAGTGGTAATTTTGTTACGTGCCTTGCGTTTTCTTTTTAATTCGATATATTAGCTAATTGCAACTCTTTACTTATGAACTTTCAAACTGATATATCGAGAAAGAGCTAAACATTGGCGACAGCTTCATCATGTCGTGAGGCATTCATTATATCATCGATACATGAGCTAGTTGCGGTACACGTCAGTGTTCTGAGGTGGCGATGAATTAAAGAACTACATCTTTGAAATTTGATTGACGCTAATCGGATTTTATCGCCTTACTGTGCTGTTTTGCGACCGACGATTAGAAGACGCCACTGTCTTTGTGTTTCCACATGCTCGATTAATGCAAACGAAGTGTGGCGTGAAAAAATCTAACGTAAATTACGGGCTTACTCTGCCTGCTGCCTAGAGGTCAAGAGCGAAATTTCTGGTGGACACGGGAGGCTCAACTGCCTGTCAGCGAAAAGAATCCTGCATTCAGGAAGTGGCCTAGAAGGAAAGAACCTGCAACTGGACTGCTGTACGAAGAAGTGCGCAGCGCCGCGTCAGCGAAATCAGTGGTCAAGCAGAAACCGATTCCTGGGACAAGCTCGGTGAGGTACCGGAGTCGAGTTTCCACATCGCAAAAGATTTACTGATAGACTACTTGCCCCTCAGAGGTTTAATGAATGGTAGTGTGAGAGCCCTGAAGGAGAAGCGGACGTCCTTTTACCAAAGATGAGGACATACTCTGGCGATAGAGTGAGTAGCTTGAGTATCTCCTTAACCCCAAGCAATCGCAGGATATCTCGCCTAAAGAATAGCTGGCGACGGATATTGGCCTTTCTACAGACGAAGTGACAAAAGCTCTTAAGTGCTTGAAAAGTGACATTGTTGCTAGAATCGGTGAAATCCGCGGTGAAATGCTTAAGGCTTGTGACGAACAAGGCATGTTGTTGTTAAAACGTGTCTGTCAAACTGCGGCGGCTATGGAAAGATTCAAATGAGCTCTAAGATACAATATGAGCAGTGTGTCAGGCTGAAGCACCTCTGACCGGATCTTCACCTTACGCCGGATTGGCGAAAAATCATGAGAGTTCGTTCATTTAGTTTACCTGTGCTTTGTGGACCTCGATAAATCGTATGACCAGGTCCCGCACAACAAGCTAGGGGCGTGCCTGCAAGCATGTGGGATCGATGGCCAGTTTCTGCTGTCCATCGATCACTATATGCTGATAGCAGGTGCTGCGTCAGAGTAAATG